TAATCATTAGGAGAAAATAAATCCACCACTCCTTTCAAAAGTCAGACTGGATTTCAGAATTGATTAGCAGGAGCTCAGCAGGATTACTGCCAGTGCTTTAGGTTTTGAAAATGAGGACTCATGATTTAAAAATACATATATATCAATTAGATAATAGTAGAATAAGCAAATAACATCATCTTCAAAGATCATGTCATATATAAATATGTTTTGAAACAGTTTGTGAGGTTTCTGGGATAGTGAGTAATTGACATTAATTACTCAATTAATTTACTGATTTTAATTATTATTCTATAAATTTTCTTCCAACAACTAATCTCACAGATTTTAATCACTCTATTGAATCACATTTTTGAGCAACAATAGAGGTGGTATCATCAGGTCTAAGGCAGCATTTCTGAATTAAGAAATCGATGTTAATAACGTCCTTTTCCTATTATCTCTGATGATAAATATAGGTAAGACTTGAGGTGGGGGGATGGCTCAAACCCAGGAGTTCAAGGCCAACCTGCACAACACAGCAAGTCCATGTCTAAAAAAAAAAAAAAAAAAAAAAAAAAAAAAAAAAAAAAAAAAAAAAAAAAAAAAAAAAATAAGACAACAGAGAGAGAAAATAGTCAAATTACTAAGTGGAGCAAACTCAGATAGTGTAATGAAAACCGAACAAAAAAATCAGATTATATAATGAAAACTGAACAGGTTAGAAAACCCAGAAAAGAATTAATTGCATTTCAAATGTTTAACACTGCAAGCCTGGGACACACCACTCCTCAACTTCTGACCCAAGTCAAAGCAGTCCTGTTACCCAGAAAGCTCCCAATCTCTCCCCCTGACACAGGTCCACTCACAGGCCACACACATGTGCACGCAATCTCATTTCCTTCAACTTAAACTCATCTGTTAAGTCTCAGTTTCAATGTAATTTCTCTAGGAGAGACTTCACAAGTACCGAGATTAGGGCTACTATTACTCTTATAATTTCATCTACTTTTGCTTAATTATGCAGTTGTCACTGACAACGTCCTTGTTCAGCTCTGTATCCTCCCACTTGGCCAAAAGCTCGATGTCTTCTCCATCTCTACACTCAGACCAGCACCTGGTACATACTTCATAAATATTTGCTAAGTAGGAAATAAATGAGTAGATTTGAAATGTGTTGACTATGTCTTATTGAGGACATGTTTGTTTTAAAATTAGATATTTCAAACTGAGCAATACAATAGAGCTTCAAACTGTAATTTTAAAAATTAGAGTCATGCTAAAGGAGGTAAATGCCATAAAGAAATTCAGCATCGATTGGTTTCTCTCCGTGTTGTTACCATGGGGCGCATCTTTGCCCAAGGATTCACCAAGAGATGGTACTGAGAGAATCGCACTCAGACACACAACAGACACACACATTTAAAAATCCCTTAGAGAACCACCATTGTCATTAATCATCTAGTAACAAGTCTGAATAAATTAATAAAAGGCAACAGTCACTTAAAATGTTACTGAGCTAAAATTGGCCATTACACTATCCTCTGTGACTATTAAACAAAAGAAACACAGTACACAATGCAAACGGCTTAAGTATGACAGTATGTTAATAGTCCCTAAAGTCATGAGATACTTCCTTTAGGAAGTACTTTAAGGGAGAAAAATAATTAATTAAGGTCAGGGTGGCAATAAAACTACCTATTGGCTGGATCTCAGAGAGGTGTGTTGGTGGACCCGTCAACTTTGAGTGTGAACTCTTCCCAGAGTCACCCTTGAGTCCATGGTCACACCTTCTCATCCCTCATCACTTCCTTAGATGGTTAGGACCTGCTTGCTGGTAGGCACATCTTGCTACAGGGTCATCCTCCCCTGGCAAGAAGTTCTTCCTCTTGGCTAGGCGTGGTGTTTCATGCCTGTAATCCCAGCACTTTGGCAGGCAGAGGCAGGTGGATCACCTAAGATTGGGAGTTCAAGACCAGCCTGACCGACATAGAGAAACCCTGTCTCTACTTAAAAATACATAGTTGGCTGGGTGTGGTGTTGCATGTCTGTAATCCCAGCTACTCTGGAGACTGAGGCAGGAGAATCTCTTGAACCCGGAAGGTAGAGGTTGCACTGAGCCGAGATCATACCAAAAAAAAAAGAAGAAGAAGTTCTTCCTCTTTAGGTACCACTCTGGAGTCGGCATGGTTCCCTCTAATTGGGCCTTCCTAATCCATAATGAGCTGTTATCTTGTAGGAACAGAATACTTCCTGCCTGCAAGAGACTCCCAGCCTTGCCCTTTCTGGTTCTAGAAGACTAGAAATGAGTACCCAAGGTTAGAAATTACCCACCCTGCCTGTGCTGGGAAACTACAACCCCACATCACACATTCTGAGACAAGGTGCCCAATCTCTTTCCAAACTCATATATGAGCAGATGTCCAATAAAAATCACAAAACCACTGGATGTCACCAAAATTCAATTATATCAGCTCACATATCCCTTTCAATTTACATTCACAAAAGAACTGCTGCCCTAAAATTATGCTGAAGGTCTGCTTTCACCTGGGAATTTTAATAATATGACCAGTCTATAACTTTCCAGATTAGCCACTATCGGAAGGCCTACTGCTCAGCTGCTGGCCTCAACTACCGAGCGTATCGGGATTTGAGTCTACTAGTCCAGCAGCAGAACCTCGTTTTCTAAAAGCCTGAAATTGCTTCAGGAATATAGCAAAATCACCTAAACTTCAGACTGAACAATGACAACTGCTGATATGAAAAGTGGTAAATCATGAAGGCTAGTATTCTCTCTAGAAACAAGTTACTAATACTGAGAAAGAGACAGGACTGAGAATTCAGAGGAAAAGGATTCTACCTCTGCATGAAGAATGACTGCTACTCAGCTTCTGAAGGTATCCAGTGGCTTTTGCATCATAGCAGCAGGGCTTGGTCTTTCCCTAGAAACAGCATTATTGTTTTGCTGGGGGAAGGTGATTAGTTTTGAGAGGTATGAGGTACTGATACTTTTCCATAATTCCACTTTTCCCAGCAATAAATCAATGAAGTGAAGTCTCAATATATGAGACAGATTTTGTAAGAATACACAAAGGATTTTTACACTTAAGTGAGGAAAAAATACATTCGTGTATGACAACTTCCTATGGGTAAAATATAGCAAAGAGATCAATTTTCACATGGGCTTTTATAAAACTAACACAAAAATACATGTATATGGAGAACTTCAGACTGAGAATTGCATCAGGACTGTTTTTTTGAATTTGCCTTTTGTATCAAAAAAAAAAAAAAAAAAAAAAAAAAAAAAAGAAATCCCCAAGTCAAGCCTTTAACAGGAAGAAGCCAGTAGACTTCTTTCACTGTCCATTCAACTGCTAAAATACAAATAAGAAATATTCAAATACTAAGGTTTGGGAGTTAAAAGGGGAAACATGCTAATGTGACCAAAACTTCTAACTCTGTCAATAAAATGGCTTGAAGGAGGAGGCAGGTTACTAACCCCTGGTATCTGACCTAGGCTTTTAAGACTAATAGCAGCAATTACAATACAAAAGTCCAGCTATTGCCCACAATTACTGCCTCGCAGGGGGTCTAAGCAATGAATTATTCATGTAACATATGCTCTGTACCTTTTAAGGAAGAAACAGACAAATCTATACAAAACAAGTTAACAGAGCTCTTTATGGTCATAAAGCTTGTCACCTGCTGTTACCAGCTGCCATAAGGAAGATATTCCTTCCCTTCCCGGCCCCTTCTAAATAGAGAGCGAGCTGACGGAGAACCGTCTTTTACTCTCAGGAATTAAGATGCTTAACGGCATATTAAAACGAGAGGTCGAAGCCTGCACTGCGTTACAAGCGTTACAAGCAGAGGTGCAGGGAGAGACTGGGGGAAGCAACTGTGGCCAGGAGGGAGCACCCACCAAGGAGGAGCTAAATTCTCTCTCCACCCTCATCCCACCACAATGCTCCTATCACCAAAAGGCAAGCAATGACTGCAACTGTTTTGGAAAATCTTCCAAACTTCTCAGATGGCAAGGTGTTGCATCTTTTCCCTCTGGCAATTGTGGTTTGTAAGAAAAAGCCCATTATTCTTTTAATGACTCAATCCAATCTTGCTTCTACAGTATTCGTACTTGCCATGAACCAGGGAGCATTCATGGTGAAAGCCACGGAGCACATCTTTTTAAATATTAATAATTGACTTACATGCCTACTGAGGGAGGACTTCGCCCCTTTCTGCCTTTCTTTTTCTTTAAAGACTGGAAACTGAAAGAAGGTCGGTGCTTCGTATCCAAAGGCTAAAGAGGGCAGGAGCCCATGCATAGCCTGAGGAGGTTTTCTGTTTTAACTATAAATGTAAGGTAGTATTTGGCAGGCTAGACTCCATCTAGAGTGTGCCAAGAGCCTTCCTATGGAAAAAAAAGAGCTGCACACACATTTAATAATCCAAGCATTAAAGCTTCAAAGTGCATGCAAGCACTCCATGTTAAAACAGACACACTAAGATAAAAAGTCTGAGGTCAGATGTGCCACTGTCACTGTGAAGCGACTTCTGCCACCCAGAGCTGAGTCCCCAGGGAGGGTACAGGGCAGTGCACGGCAGGCAGCGGCTGGGCAGATAAACCTCAGGGGTATAGAGAACAGAACTCACGCCTGTGAAGTCAGACTTTGGCACCAATACCCAGTGTTTGTTGCTGGGTTTTTATTTTATTTTATTTTCGTTTTGTTTTTTCTTCAAAGAAGTTTCAGTTAAATTACCAGCTGACTTGAGTACAAAGAGTTTCTTCCGATGTAGAATTCTAAAAGTGACAGGCATCATGAGAAGCCCTCCTGACCAAAGGAAATAATTGCTAATTAGCCCTTCACTTGAAAAACATATTTAAAGAGGAAAGCAAAATCGGATGTTCTTTATAAATTAAACAACCAAAGATTCAATAGAATATCTGCTATCTAAATGTATAGTGAAAAGACAAGAAAGAAGGGAAAAAAGCACATTCATGAAGTTTGCTTTCTGCATACCTTTTCAAATTTTGTCAGCAGTTCCCGTAAGCTGAAGTTCAGACCAATCATTGTCCAGTAGCCCTTGAAACCTACATCTTTCCAGCAAACTTCCTTCAGACAACAGCGTTTAACTTCTAAACACCGTATCTTTTCTGGCTATACTTTAAAATCCTTTGTAAAATCCTTTACAAGCCTTGCCCTTGAGCTATGGTCCATCAGCAGCAGCGGCAGCTTGCGCTGGGACATTTTAGCCACCCCACGGTGGGTCCTTTTTTTCATGGACTTCGGAGTTCACAAGGAATAGACCTGCTTCTGTATTTCCTGGTAGCTGCGTTCCACGAGGCTGGCATGGTCTCCTCCTTCTCTGAGAAGCCCAGGATTCCCTTCTGCTCACCTCACTAACGACCTGCAGGCCACAACTGTTTTCTCCTGGGCCCCAAGCTTAGAGTTTGGTCTCAATTACACAGAGCAAAAAAAGAAGCTATATCCTGGAAACTTGCATGAGAGAAGAAAAAAAAAAAGCCAAGTATTACCAACTTCCTCCATTCAGACTGATTTCAGAACGAAAAAAAAAAAAAAATCCTGGGTAAAGAGCCAGTTTTCAAAGAGCATGACTTATGTAGAGTTCGAAGGAGGAGTGTACTCTTAGCTGAAGAAACACCAAAACACGGGACAAGAGGCCACCGGTTCTCACTCTCCCAGACACCAGCAGCCTGGGTTGCTATGGTAACCACCAAGCTAGTTTCAGTCCATTTCCCTAGGTCAGGCTGGCCTAAGGGATGCTGTCAGTGCAACAGAACTAAAGTTGTTTTAAAAGGTGTTCTGTCTGTCCAGAGAAAAACTCCTCAGCAAATCCCCTAGTCCCCTCTGCAGGCTTTGTGGCAGGGGAGAGCAGCCTCAGTGGGTTCCGGCAGCTCCCCTGGCTGATCTGACAGCAGTGTGCTAGTCGACTTCTCTTTCCAACAGTTGTTTATTATTTTAATCAGCATCCTCCCTTTTCACCACCCCTCACACAGTTTGAAGTGAAAGTTCACTCCCACTTCCTGGAGGCCTGCCTGCCCCAAAAGTCAGTACTCTATCTCTTACATTGTCTCAATCTTGAACGGATCGCAGGTTCCATATTCCAGTTGGGAGCCAACCCATGAAAAGAAAAGGGAGTGAATGTACAAAATAATACAAATCACAAAAGGCAATAGGCGTTGACTAATTTTATTTTTCAAAAAGGTGTTAGCAGGAAACCGATGAAGAAAACACTTTTAAAGAAAAGTGTTTTGATCTCTTGGATGCCACTGAAAGGCATTCAGACTGTCTTCATATAGGGAATTTACTTGTTTCTGACACAAAACGAGAGAAACTACTGTACTCAAAATGTGAGTAATAACTACTCTGAATGTGTCTTCAATTTTGATGTTAAATTACTACTGGCACTCAGACAAACAGCATCTTCCACAAAGTTTTGAGTGTCATCGCTTTAAAGAAAAAAACTCCAATCCAAATTACAAATTCCTTGTAGTGATATTACGGATATCATTCCAAGGCAAAATGTGAATTTGCTTTTGCATTACATAGCTATATAATATACCAATAAAGTATAACGGAAATGTTCATGTGAAACATGTTTCTCTAGTTGTATGCAGAATTTCATCCTAAAGATGTGGTGCTTCTAATGGTGACACTATTACAAGTAGAATAATGTAAATTTTAATATGAGTAAGTTTACTTTTTGAATCAGGGCATAAACCAAAGAGGGGGAAAATCCTGAAATCAAAATATGCATCTCGTAAAGGGCTAACGAGTTACTTAAATATCAATATTGTTAGCACTCATTTAATCAAGGGTAATAAGAGATTCTATTCAACAGCAGAAAAACTAAAAACCTGTCAGGGAACAGTACACAGTGTGGTTATTATTTTTTGAATTTGCAAACCATTTTTCTTTCCATTTCATTCCTAACTTACTTTCATATCAGTATTGAAATAGCATGTGTTTTACATATGCCCATCTATACAAATTTTAACAAGCTTTTAAAATATTTTCATTATTTATTCATAAAACCCTGCATGTCCCCAGGGGCAAAATGGCTTTATGAGCTTTCTAGCAGAACGAGTTTCACCTCAACGCACATTTGATTTCAAAAACAAATGTGTTAATCTAATGGTTATTCAGAAATTCACAAGTAAAAATAACCTACATTTTGGATCAAAACAGGACTGACATCAGCATGAAGACCAACCATCAGAATTGTGGTGAAAATCTTACAGAGAAAGTGGCCACAGGGAACCTGGTCTGTAAAGGCTCTAGGGCCACATGCTGAGACCTTTCAAGAGCAGCAAATAAACTTTTTACATAAATACAAGACAAAAGAAACCACCAGCACCATCACCATCACCACCACCACACACACACAAAAATAATAATAATAATAAATAAATAAATAAAAGAGGGAGAGAAAAAGAACAACCTTTCTCAGCTGGGCAAACTTCCAGCTGCCACCCAGGGTGCTGGATGGCTGGGATCAGAGACTTGTGCATACACGCCATTCCATTCCCCCATGCACAGATCAGAAGAGTGAATTAAACAAAAATGCCGTGAAACCACAGGGAATACCACAGTCTTGCTCTCAAGTAGACCCTTTCTGTTTAAAGGGTTCTTATACCAAGACAAGAACGAAACGGTATTACTAGAGCCCCAAATATCTTGTATCCACACCCAAGGCTAAACATAAGGCATAAAGATGAGGGAAAATAAAGGGTATCCTTTGTATTAGGCCTTCTTCCCAAAAGATAAGAGCAAGAGAACTTTTATCAGCCTGGTAGGTACTTGAGTCTTAGACGGAAGAAAGGAAAAGAGTATGTTCTCCTGTGGAATTAGAGAGTAGAATATCCAGAAGTTGTGGCCTGTCTATCAGCTACCTTCTCAGAAGTGACATCCTCTGCAAGGGTAGAAAAGACAACAACTCCCTTACATGCAGTTATGAGGCAACAAAAATGAAGATATTGACAAATCTAGCTATGATGGTAGCCTCTTTAGAAGAAAGAGTACAAAACTCTCTGGATCCATATTCAAAAATGGATCATCAAAAGAATATGGAATCAATCATTCAAAAGAATTTTTTTAAATTCTTAACTAATTTTAACTATAGGGTAACTATAATCTCACTAAAACACAGAAAGCAACTAAAAATGTTGTTTTTTAAGTGTTAAAGGCAAACAAATTATTCATGTGAAGATCCAAAGACATTCTGTGAAATTCAAATAGCTAAATATTTAATATATCACTCAAAAGTATTGCAGTTTTTGTTAACTGAATGATACATTAGAAGACTTGTAAATGTGAGTTGCTTTTATAAAAGTGAGCACATTTCATCATGAATCTGTATTTGATATCTATAAAAAGTGTACTTTCCATTACTCAGATGTAGTGGCCTGTGACAATAATCCCAGCTACTCTGCTCTGGAGGCTGAGGTGGGAGAATCACTAAGCCAGGAAGGTCGAGGCTTCAGCAAATCGAGATCACACCAGTGCACTCCAGCCAGGGCAACCAGAGTGAGACCTTGTCTTAAAAAAATAAAAATAAAAAAGAGTACTTTCTTAGTTTAAAGTCAGTACACAAAATATCATCTTGGTAACATACCTACATTTCCACCATACTTTTTTACCAACTACCTCTTTAATACATTATCGCCTATAATCCTGTAATCATTAAAACAAAAAATAGATGCCTCCAGTGAAAGCAATATATCACCAGAGAGACTTAATAAATTAGATGACGACATTTGAAGTAGTTGACATTTTGCCAGTTTAAGCCCATGTGCAAATCAATTATTCACTAATCCTCAGTAGGTGGAATAAGCTTGACACTACCAATCCCTGTAACAGATCAACACTGAATAACCCAGAAATCTCTAGCTAAATAAGCCATGTTTCAAACATAGACATAGACTTTCATAAGAAAGCAAAAAGGTTCCAGAACCACAGAGAAGCACAGGAAAACTCAACAATGGACTCAGTAAAATCTAAATCTAAATCGCTCAATAAAAACCACATTTCAATGTCAAAATGAAGAGAGCCTTATGGATAGCTTTGCCAAGAACTTTCAAAGGGTAGGAAAATTTACAAACTTTTTGTGCTTAAAAATCATATTTTATATAATTTGCTAAAGGATGACCTATTTAGTAATTTTAATAAGGCTATAAAAGATTCTTTATGGTTTAGTCAACTAAGAACTTTATATCTTACTCCTACAATGGATCTTAAGGCACGCTTCCCACTAAACACAATTTTTAAAACTGTAAAGATCAAGTATGTTTTCTGTGTAAAATCTAACAGGTTTTCCTTTATATTGGCCAATACAAAGAATAAAAAGAAAAGAAATGAAGAAAAGCTTCTTAGGAGCCTCTAAAGTGAAGCATATGGGAGGTCAATAGGTGATTACACATAAATCGTTACATCATGGCTTATTCATTACTAAAATGAGGAGCTTCTGGCATGGGTAGAGAAGTTTATTTGTTGTAAGCCCATTCTGACTCAAAGAAAGATCCCGCTTATTTCACATGAAAGAAATAAACACAATTCTCCTTTTCATAACCCTTCTAACTGGGGGTTTATAATTCAAAAATAAAATAGCTGTAAGACCCTAATCGTATCTGAGATTTCAATTCATTGTCTTCTACCACTGAAGTTCCATTAGGGAGGGACAACTCCATACATCTGAGCTTTCGAGTTAACATCAGCCAGCAGCGAAGTCTGTCAGCTGGTAGCTATTTAAGGTAATATACAGCCCTAAAGGGCAAAAAGTTCAATCTAAGGATGGAGGCCTGAGTCCCCTGATGAAAGGGAGAACCCTCCTTTTATCCCAGGAAGTTCAGGCACTATGCTTTGTACACAAAGAATTATTTTTAATGTTCGTCTCTTCAATATAATGCTATATATCTTGATAATTTTACAGGTGGTCATGGAGAAATAAAAATTAGGATTCATAAGAAAAAGATTTAATATTTAATATATTTTCTAAAACATTGCAGGAAGATTCCAACAGACATTGAAAGAGGTACAAAGACCTTTTTCTTAAGGGGAATGGGTGGGTGGGGTAGAGGTTCAGAAAAGAAATACCAGCTGATTTGCTCCTGAATTAGCCAACCAGGTGCTGGGGTCAGCCTTCAGCAACCTTCTAAATATTTAATAATTCAGACAGCACTTTATTAGGTGACTAAAAAAAATGCCAAGACAAGTTAATGTTTCCAAACCATATTCTTCCCAAAAAATATGCAGCATCAGAGAAGAGGGAAACAATCTCAGGAGGCCAAGCCTGAAATTCCAGATGCCTACTTTACAGCACAAGCCAGTGGGATATGCAACTAAATCCACAAGGCTCTGAAAAGAAAGCTCTTAAAGGTTTTTGAAAGGTTTTATAAAGGTTTCTCCAATTTTCTTCAGCAATGCAGATTTAGAATATGAAAGCCAAAATTAAAATACAAATTTTAATAACAGCAATGAAAATGTCAAAACAAATCAAAATTGAAAGTGCTGTTTTCAGTCACAAGTAAAAAGCTGGTACTTTCCCCAGGAGGGTATTGTTCCTATAATTTGAATACATACTTAAAGAACTAACATTGGGTAAACACGGAGGAAGTTCAAACTAACCCCATGTGATCAGCTATACTTTTGTGTGTAATACTAAGCAGTGGGATTTCTCTCATGCTTGCAGGCTCATATAGTCATTATGGAGTTACTGCTTCAATTTTGAACCATGTCCCTGTCATCTTCCTACTTAGGAACCTGTTCAGGATTCTCTGCAAAATCAACTCCCTCATCATGATCTGTCTTCACAAATTTCGCCAATAACCCATCAATATTAACCACATGAACCACTCACACTTACAACTATGGTTTTCTCCAAAAAGTCATATACCACAATTATCCATTTTTTTCCCTCCAGTAATATT